ATTTATCTTTTTTAACTAACAATTCGGCATTTAATAAATTATACACTAGTATCACGTTGCAGCAGTATATAGTATTCAATATGCATTTGATATCCTGCTAGCACATCGTTTATTCAAAATATGTATTGTATATATTATGAAAAACACGTCTCATAGTTCGTTGTTTACATAAGAGAGAAAAATAGAAGAGGGCAAAGGGGACATCTTTGTGGTAGAAGGAAACACAAAAAATATCATTAGCTAATTCCAATAAAATGAAATTTGACATTTCATTTATCTTTTCTACTCTGTTTAACATACAGGTATTTAAGTGCATGATTAGATGCATGCTTGCAATCTTGTCAACACAGAAGGGAAAGTTAATGTTAGCTGTCAAAATATTGTCAGCCGGGTCTGTTGCATGCTAGGAAAAGCCGTTGGCACGATTAAATATGTTACATGCTAATAATTTTTTTTTGCAAAACTTTAAACCTAAATTAAAAAAAACGTTTGTTTTAATATCTCCCATATTAAGTTAAGCTTATATAGAAATAAGAAGATATAGTCTGATTTTGTCAAGTTGGTTTTTTTTAGAATGAAAGGGTGCATATGGATAATACATAGAAGATGAATACCATTTCTCTAATTTTTGTGATATTTTCACATTTCTTGATCGGTGTGAAAAAAATATTTCTCCTCACTAGTGAAATATGTGTTCTCGGCAAATGATTGGTCGAAATTTAATTATGACGTCAAGTTTTCTTGGTTTCTTCTGAATTTTCCTATTGTGACGTCATGAAAAAAGGCGACCATGCCTGATGACGTCACACATTAAGAACACAATTTTCTGCAAATCTTTGAGAAGGAAGGATAAAAATCATTAGAGAAACAGATTCCACCACTATAACTCGTTTATTACGATATTTCTCCACTCTCAACAGTTAAATTTTAATTATTTAAAAAGCTCGGCAAGCCTCGCGCTTTAAATATTAAAATTTAACTGTTATCGTAACAAACTTGTTGCAGTGGTGAAATCTATATTGACATAACAACTAACGATATATAAGCTCTAAATTGCTCCGAGTCTTGTAAAGCGACACTGATTATTATTTTCCACTCAAGTATGCATCTGTTATACAGTGTGATGATTGACTTTACACATATCTTAACTGTTATGTAGAAATCTTAGAACAGATATATTTTTAACATAGATTTTTAAAGTAACATATGGTACTGTCAATAAGTCCATGGGGATTATATAACAGATAAGTGATTTTGTATTACATAGTAAATACTACGGTATTGAATTCTTAAAGTTGTTCAGCTGTCATAATGACTTTTTAGGAACCATGAAAAAGTTATTTTCAAATACTGAAAGCGTTTGATCTTTTAGAGGTTAATACATTTGATGATTTTTTATACATCTAAACAACTTGAAAGATAAAATCTATAATACAATTTTGATTGAAGTTTTTAACATCAAAACTTGTTTCCGTTTTTAAAAGCGTGTCTCGTTCGTAGATGCTACAGTGTAATATATTAAGCACTGGTTTTCATTTGTGATCTTTGAAAACTAGACGTGCGTCTTCGATTGCAGTTAAAAATACATCATTAGATTCAAAATGGATTAGCTATCATGGTTATTCAGTAATACATTATTGAAATTTTTATTTCAAATTCGAACCAGTTTTTTAAATTATTTAATACAAAAATTATGAAAACCCATTTACAAAAGCAATAACAAATCGTTATATTCCCCTGTTTAAACATTTTGATACGAGTTGGACTTTTGGTGCATAAGGTGTCTTTTTAGTTCTATGTTTACTTTGGTGAGCGTCCTTGTTCACAAAACTGTTGATGTTTTTAATTATTGTTTATTTTGGTGAAAGTCCTTATATACAAACACCTCAGTGTTTATATCGGAATACTAAGTGAAATATCACTATAGGCTTACTGTTTAAGTATGGATAATAGCTTTCAAGTGTATAAATTACCTTTGTGTTAAGATGACAAACGCAAACAATATCAAGCATAATGCCAGTGAATATTCAACAACCAATTAGTAAAGAATAGCTGTAATATACGATACAATGGATTCCGATGTTTGAAGCGAGTAAATGATCCAGAAGGGGACAAAGAAAACAATTTTGCGACTGTTACCTATCTTACCGTAATCACTAGGTATCTAAAAGATAAATCAAGACCACCGATATATCCTACAAACGGATGTCTCCTTCTCGGGTTTCTTGTGTCAAGGGTGAACTGCCTTTGTTGTTAAAACACTTTAAACTATTTGGAGTGTTACTATTATAACATTTGAAAATTCTGCCTTCTTTCTTACTTTCTTAAGTGATTTTAATTCAATTTGCAACTTCTGTTTTCTATTTAATTACTTTTTAACATGTTTGGAGGGTTTAACATTTAACGTAAATCTCTTCAACACAAGATGGTTATTTTTTTTCCAATCTGAATAACTTTAAGATAGGATTTCAAATTTACGATCATACGAAAGCATTCAAATATTAGACGTTTCTTGTTGTGTGTTCGGTAAATATCTCATGTGAAAAAGAACATGAATTTTATTTCATATTACAGATGTTTTGTGTAACCCGAATAATCCACTCGTTATATTTCGCTCACTTAGATCCTCGAGAAACGGTAGTGGATAGAGGGTACTGAATTATTCGAGGTGATGTTTTGTGATACGAATTTTCGGGTTTACAGAGTAAAATATGTTTCATTGTACATTTACTACATATCTGGTTTAAAGAATTCACTTTTCTATTAATTGTAAAGCTGTGTTTTGGTGTATTGCTTACAGCCGGGTAGATAGAATTAGCATTTCCTTTTAAATAGTAAGAAGTTTTTTGGCAAATGTTTGCTGATCAATTAAATCGCATTACGTTGTTAATCTTTGCCGTTTAGACATTATGTATAGGCACGAACGTTTGTATAACTGGTCTGAGAGCATTATAAATATTTTGAAAAGAGAGGTTTATATATTGTAATATATTGTAATAGACAGTCGAGTAGCTTTAAATTGTGAATTGAGTACCATTGGTTGAATTAACAGTTTTGACACTGAAAGAAAATTATTATTTTATTATTCCGTATTATGTATTTGGTTTGAATTATAATATGGAAACGGAAAAAAAAATATTTTTCGAGTCAAACTTGTTCATAAATTTACTTTTTTACCCTTTTAATTCATCTCTAAGGTTAAGTATTTCAAAAAAAAAATAGGATCCGTTTGATGTAATATTTCATTGGCTTTACAATATGCATACACCGGCAACAATGGTATCGTTCTACAGTCGCCATGAAATGATTTATGGCAGTCCCTGGTTTATGGGAGAATTGAACACGAGTTTTGACGTTTTTTTACACAAAACGTATTGTGACGTCATTTTGTCTCTGCCATTTTTGATTCAATTTGTTGATATTGAATATACCACAAAGCGAAAACAGGACATCCTATAAGTATCAGGCTTTTAATCCTAAGCATTCATGAACACTTTTCATTGAATATTCTTTAAAAGCTTTTCGTAAACTTTATAGTACTATAGAAGCTCTTTTTAATGAGAATATTACACAAGGTCCTTGATGCATACGACGTCATGTCAATTTGTGGTGAATGAAATGGAACGAACATATTAATGAGAATTTCAATTTTATGTACAGGTTTTTATGATGAATGCACTTCACACTGCACACGTGGCTGGTATGGCGTGAAACTCAATTCTGAAATATCTAGGGCATGTAGTGCTCTACTTTTTTTTACGATTTACGACTGCGTTTCAGTCTATGCAGGGAATGGAAGGTTATTGGCGTTTGATTTGCATCAAATAAGGGCGAAATTTGCATATAACAAAAATGTACGAATATATAAAAGCTATATGATTATACTTATTTTACATGACGCGCTGTAAAATATGATACTTTTCGAAGATCAAGAATATTATATAACGGATTTCTTCACAGAACTTCTTTTTGAATGTAAAATTTACCATTTGCTGTGAAAGCAGATGGGCCCATTAAGTAACTTCAATTGCCCCTTCAAAAGCTAGGTGCAATTGCTCAGGTTACCTGTTGTTAACAACATATTTTTACCTGTGACCTTCGTTTTTTTACAAACTCACTCCATAACATCTTACGAAATGCAAATTTATTTCAAGTTAAATTTTTTCCTAAAGATTTACTTTTTTATCATTACATTTTTTACGATTAATTCGTGAGAATTTTTGAATGAAGCGTATAGTTTTATCCCGTTTTATTGGAAGGAAATTGCTATGATGAAATTTGATGCGTTCTTCCTTTTTAAATGTTTGTATTTTACTTAATGGATTATGGGTCGAATTACAGTTTACGATATTGGGTAATTTTGTGCAATTTTGAGTTTTTATTGCCAATTGAAAGGAGTCTGTCAGGAGGAAATGACTTGTATAAAAATACCATTGTTCCTGCACTACAAGCGTACGTTTTTTTGTCAATTCGTTTTAAACTATGCGAGATTTTGTCTAGTCAGTTTTATTTTGTGCGTGACAATATCCAGCAACTACAACATGCTCCGTTGTATGGGAAGGCTGCCTTTTGGACTTACTTCATGTATGTCTACGCTTGTTCCGTCAACAGAGAGGGTTTAAAAAGAAGATTTTTCCGTCATATTCTATTTCAGTATTGATCGACATCATTAGCACGATCATGTCATGGCCTTGGGAGGCTGTTTCTAACGATAAACTGATACAAACGATACTACTGATAGCTTGGTTTCAATTTATCTTCAAATTATCTGTTGCAATGCCCTGACTGCAACAGAACATCTTTTTAATAAACTTCAAAGATCGTATATGCAATCAGCATAGGTGATTTCAATGGTGTCAACTTTCACCGAATGTGAAACTCGACACTAGTTTTGCACCAGCTACGTTATTTAAATATTTGAAACATTGTAGAAAAAGTAAAACTTTTTTTCACCAAAAGAATTGCAATACTTCATATAATACGCCATTATATATTCTTACCAGAGCTCTTATACAAGAGGCCATTCCAAGCAGAAATAAACATGCTGACACTATTTCCGATTTCATAATTGTTATAAATCCCTATTAATATGTCCAGTTCTTTAGAAAGTCACTGACTACATCTCTAAAAACTTCAAAGCATTCGCAAGTCTTAAGTTATCTTGTCTTGCGGTGAAATTGCTTCCTTTCCCATGGCCTATGCGTGAGCAGCATGCATGTATTTCTTAGAGTTTGTGCTATTTCACGTGGTGTTTTTACCAATCTCATGTACACAAGGTAATCCCAATTTCGTTTAGTTTATCTTAAATATTAGATGTCCCACTTTTATAAACGTTGTTTAACCCGTTGATAAGCACTTGATGTCCTAAATTTAAATGATAAACAGTAATCTATTAGATCCTAAGATGACGGACTTGCTTTTCCAGCTTTATCCTGGTTTCCCCCTTCATGTATTACTTTTAAGCCAGGTAATATTTATCGTAAGATTGAACCGAACTTTACGACAAATTATAATTAGTGGGTGGAGTCATTTTGCGATTTAAACTGTGTGTTCAGGTGTGAATTCTGTGCTTCTGTCAATCAACTACTCACAACAGAGAATGGATTAAATGAAATGAAAGATTATGGGCGGGGCTTAAAACAGCAATAGTAGTAGTAAAGCGTAATAAGTATTATTGTATACTGATGAAGAAAAATATGTTTATTATGTATATTCCGAAGTAGAGAAATCAGTGTCTTTATATCCCATTTTATATTGCAATGGGGTTGTGACTCAGCTTGGCATTGTTTATTCACTGATAGGGGAAAAAAGGGGGTAGTAGGGCACTTAATTATGATATTATCGTATGATGAAGATTTGACATTTATTTACGTTGTCATTACTGATTTAAAATTCTTATTTAAATAAAGTTTTCAAGAGAAAAAACACTTATATTATTATAATTTCAATCTTAGTATTATTTCATTAATAAGTATTAGTAAACCGATACACAGATTACCATTAGATGCTTAAATCCAAGTCATTTGGACTCTAGTGTTGTCTCATTGGTAATCATGATACATCTCTTTATTTTTATACAGTTAGTAACATAATGCACTTTAATTCGTTTTTTTTTCTAATAATAAACTGTATGCAACATATGTTATATTTGAATTTGTTTATATATCTTTTATTATTTTATTTTTGTGTGGGAAAGTTGAAAATTGCCTAGAGAACTTCAACAACATGTTACAAATAACATTATTTAGGAGAGGGCATGTCTTGAGAACAGCCTCGGTGTAGTTCTCAACTGACTAGGTGTAACTTTTAGAGTAGTCGTTGGATACGGTTATGAAGTGGAAATTAGTCCCCTTATTAAATGCACAGAGACAGTATGTAACTTTTAGAGTAGTCGTTGGATACGGTTATGAAGTGGAAATTAGACCCCTTATTAAATGCACAGAGACAGTATGGTGTTCTTGATATTTTGGCGTTTCCTGAATGTCGGCTGAAGCATGGGTAAAAAATATCTGTTGTGTAAATGTTTTAGCAGAACACTTGTCTTCTCTGACAAATTTTCAGTCGAATTCTGTTTTTGTGTTAGAATTATACCCTTTATAAATTGCCCAAATTACACTACTTTTTGAAAACAAACTTACATTAAGTTTGACTGAATTTTTTCTCCCATTTTACATTGCTGTTGTTATAATGTATTATCGCCGATTATCGCCCTGTAGGTTAACTGGGGTATAGCAATATGGTCAAATAAACTTGTCGTCTCCAGCAATAAAACCAAGGATGAAAGGCCGGCGGTCCATATAGCTGTGCGGCATAGTATTAGCCACTTCCGGTTGGAATGGGGATGTTAAATCCGATGCCTCGTGTTTGGGGAGTACCATTCTGTCTTTGTACGCCGAAGAACCTATACGACAACTCTTATTGGGCTCACTATGTGGCATCTTGCAATGCTAAATTTCTGTCGTATACAACATATCCATATATGTTGGTGTCAGTCAACTTTCCGCCATTTATCCCGGTCCAGCCAATTAAAAGAACCCATCCATTTGACGTATTGTTAAATTTTTTATCGTCATGAATATTCATAAAAAATTCTTCGATGCCTATTAAGCAAACAGCAAATAAATCAATCAATCAATAAATCAAATTATCGTTACGGTTAGATTTTCTGACGCTAAGCACAATTGAATTACTATTAATGATAGATAAAATTCAGTTGCTGATAACCTTAATCAATTTATAAATTAGATATTGAGTTGCAAATAACTCTGTAATGATAAGAATTAAATACTACTTATTGCAGTTCACCATTCTGATAATTGAAATGCAATAATAAGAAAACTCTGCGACAAGTGATCAGATTTCGTTTTTATTTTTTATCTTTGAATTCATATTGGATTTATACTTTATTCAAAGAAATATTATTTGTAACGCCATAATTGCAGATATCTTTTTATGTACTTTTTTCTAGTTAATCACTACGTATTCTTTTGAAGGAAAGATTCTGTAGGTAAGAACTACTAATTCGGCCCGGTCAGAAAGAACGAAAGAAAGTAGTACATATATATATTTTTAACAAAATAGTTCCTACGCATACGCTGTAACTTTGTCAATATGTAAAATATTTGAGTAATATTGGTTTCAAATGAAAGATTAAGGACTTGGGATCACTGTAGAAACCCTGTTAAAAGTTTCATTTTTGAATATTAAAAAAAATATACGAAATTAAGATAGGAGTGCATTATTGCCCTGTTGCTTGGATCAGAAGTACCTGCTTATGTACTACCCAACTTCCAGGAAACAGTGCGCTCTAATATTAAAAGGTACGTTGAATTTTTCAGAATAAATCAGGATATGGTATAGTTTTGACATGAAATGACTGTCACTTTATTTGAACTTAGACAAAATAGCTGCGAATGCTTGAAGTTGCAGAGTTAACATGGAAACAATGGGCTATGAATTAGTGGTGTAATTTCTTTAGGTATCAAAATTAGTGGTAGACCGGTGCCTGTATATTATCCTTTTTTAGCTCACCTGGCCCGAAGGGCCAAGTGAGCTTTTCTCATCACTTGGCGTCCGTCGTCGTCCGGCGTCGTCCGGCGTCGTCCGTCGTCGGCGTTAACTTTTTACATTTTGAACTTCTTCTAGAGAACCACTGAATGGAATGAAACCAAACATGGCATGAATGTTCCTTATGAGGTGCTGACCAAGTGTTGTTACTTTGTAGCGGATCCATCATCCAAGATGGCCGCCAGCGGGGGACTTAGTTTAACATAGGACCCTATGGGAAATACATACAAATGTCTTCTTTTAGAGAACCACTGAATGGAATGAAACCAAACATGGCATGAATGTTTCTTGTGAGGTGCTGACCGAGTGTTGTTACTTTGAAGCCGATCCATAATCCAAGATGGCTGCCAGCTGGGGACTTAGTTTAACATAGGACCCTATGGGAAATACATACAAATGTCTCCTTTTAGAGAACCACTGAATGGAATGAAACCAAACATGGCATGAATGTTCCTTATGAGGTGCTGACCGAGTGTTGTTACTTTGAAGCCGATCCATAATCCAAGATGGCCGCCAGCGGGGGACTTAGTTTAACATGGGACCCTATGGGAAATACATACAAATGTCTTCTTTTAGAGGACTACTGAATGGAATGAAACCAAACATGGTATGAATGTTCCTTATGAGGTGCTGACCGAGTGTTGTTACTTTGAAGCCGATCCATAATCCAAGATGGCCGCCAGCGGGGGACTTAGTTTAACATGGGACCCTATGGGAAATACATACAAATGTCTTCTTTTAGAGAACCACTGAATGGAATGAAACCAAACATGGCATGAATGTTTCTTATGAGGTGCTGACCGAGTGTTGTTACTTTGAAGCCGATCCATAATCCAAGATGGCCGACAGCTGGGGACTTAGTTTAACATAGGACCCTATGGGAAATACATACAAATGTCTTCTTTTAGAGAACCACTGAATTGAATGAAACCAAACATGGTATGAATGTTCCTTATGAGGTGCTGACCAAGTGTTGTTACTTTGAAGCCGATCCCTAATCCAAGATGGCTGCCAGCGGGTGACTTAGTTTAACATGGGACCCTATGGGAAATACATACAAACGTCTTCTTTTAGAGAACTACTGAATGGAATGAAACCAAACATGGTATGAATGTTCCTTATGAGGCGCTGACTGAGTGTTGTTACTTTGAAGCCGATCCATAATCCAAGATGGCCGCCAGCGGGGGACTTAGTTTAACATGGGACCCTATGGGAAATACATACAAATGTCTTCTTTTAGAGAACCACTGAATGGAATGAAACCAAACATGGCATGAACGTTTCTTATGAGGTGCTGACCAAGTGTTGTTACTATGAAGCTGATCCATAATCCAAGATGGCCGCCAGCAGGGGACTTAGTTTAACATTGGACCCTATAGGAAATACATACAAATGTCTTCTTTTAGAGAACCACTGAATGGAATGAAACCAAACATTGCATGAATGTTCCTTATGAGGCGCTGACCGAGTGTTGTTACTTTGAAGCCGATCCATAATCCAAGATGGCCGCCTGCAGGGGACTTAGTTTAACATGGGACCCTATGAGAAATACATACAAATGTCTTCTCTTAGAGAACCACTGAATGGAATGAAACCAAACATGGCATGAATGTTTCTTATGAGGTGCTGACCGAGTGTTGTTACTTTGAAGCCGATCCATAATCCAAGATGGCCGCCAGCGGGGACTTAGTTTAACATGGGACCCTATGGGAAATACATACAAACGTCTTCTTTTAGAGAACCACTGAATGGAATGACACCAAACATGGCAAGAATGTTCCTTATGAGGTGCTGACCAAGTGTTGTTACTTTGAAGCTGATCCATCATCCAAGATGGCAGCAAGCGGGGGACTTAGTTTAACATGGGACCCTATGGGAAATACATACAAATGTCTTCTTTTAGAGAACCACTAAATGCAATGAAACCAAACATGGCATGAATGTTCCTTATGAGGTGCTGACCAAGTGTTGTTACTATGAAGCAGATCCATAATCTAAGATGGCCGCCAGCGGAGGACTTAGTTAAACATAGGACCCTATGAGAAATATGTACAAATGTTTTCTTTTAGAGAACCATTGAATGGAATGAAACCAAACATGGCATGCATGTTCCTTTTGAGGTGCTGACCAAGTGTTGTTACTTTGAAGCTGATCCTTCATCCATGATGGCTGCCAGATGGGGGCAATGTTTAACAAAGGACACTATGGACAATACATACAAATGACTTCTTTTAGAGAACCACATACTGAATGGATTGAAAACAAACATGGCATGAATGTTCCTCATGAGGTGCTGACTAAGTTTTGTTACTTTGAAGCTGATCCTTCATCTATGATGGCCGCCAATGGGGGGGACTTCCTTTAACATAAGACCCTATGGGAAATACATACAAATGCTTCTTCTAGAGGTGCACTGAATGGAATGAAATCC